CTGTACAAAGGGTGATCTTATGGGATGTGAATTATATCCCAGCAGAAAAATTAACCTCATGAGTGGGCATTTCACCAATGAAGATGCTGGGGAGTGTAGGGAGCCTAGCGTCTCACAAAGGCTAGGATTCACATCAGAGCCACCACAGAGGGCTCCTTCAAAAGGACTGTGCCACCTGGCATGAATTAGGGGGAGAGCAGACCTCCATCACTGGTCTGGAAGGAGCACATCTCATCCTCATGCGTGGGTTCACACTCCAGGAGGTGGGACCGTTCAACAGAGAAGAGCTGATGTCTGTGCACAGATGAGTTTAACCTGTCAGGCCAGGCAAGCTTGTGAAATGACCAAAGCCAGAGCCCACATTGGAGGGAAGGATTGCCCTGGGATGCTGGGCATGACACAGACATTCGACTTTACCACAGTTGTTCCAAGTCACTGCCCATAGAAGATTCCAGGAATCCACCATCCAGTGGCCTTTTTAGCCCCCCCCCCCCCCCCCCCCCCCCCAAGCAGAGAGAGAAAACTCAGGGGCATTGTCCTTGGAAAGACTCTTATGCAAACCAGACTCCAGGAGCCTGTGATCCTCCAGCTCTGCTACTGGCCACTGTCTGTATCAGCATTTCGCAACCCCCTCCTCCCCCACTTTCTGTCAATACCAGGTACAAAAAACAGCATTTTTCTTTGCATTTGCACAAAAGTAATTAATGAGCAGTGTCAGCTTTACCAGATCTTTGAAAGGGGATTGAAGGAAAGAGGATTCCATCACAACCATTCACACCACAGGAAATGGCTTCATACCTCTCCTGGACCTTTCTGCCCTCCCAAACCCTCTCTGTGGTTCTTTCACTAGGGGTCTCTCCTCCGGGCCTCTCTCCCCAACCCACCCATAATCAGGCTTGCTGGCTTCTCCCTGCTTCACCCTCCCAAGAACAGCATGAGTTCAAATCCTGGCCCTTCCATTTATTAGCCATGGCTTGCCACCTAACCTCCCTCAGTTTCTGCATCTGTACAGCGGGAATAATAATAACACTTTGTCCAAAAGCCATTGTGGACAGTAAGTGAGGCAATACACAGAAGGAGCCTAGAATAGAGCCTGGCACACATTACCCTTTTTATTTTTGAGTCTTTTACTGTTATTTTTAGGTAGCAACAGGTTAGCAAACACCTTTTGTTAGTGGAGCAAGGTTTGGGGCCTGCTCTTTCTCAAGGGAACTATTACACTCCTCTTCCCAAAACAGGCAGAATGCCTTCTCTGAGGGACTTTGATGGCTGTGTCCTTCTTATGCTTCTTCATCTTTCTGGCTCTGCCAATAAGGCCACCCAGTCCAGGATGCCTGGTACACTGTCCCCGGGGAAGGAGACTGGGCAGGCCGTGCTGAGGAAAACCGAGGCTGCCTCCCGGCCATAGCTGCTGGACCAGACTGTGGCTTCCGAGCCAAAGGCAGCAGTGCATGCCCCTCCCCCAGCAGGGGAGCCAACTCTCTCCAGTGTGGTTTGGTGGGAGCTCCATATTGGATGATGAACCCAGTCCCAGCAGACGCTCTGGGGGCCCAGGATCCTCTCACAGGGAGGGTAGGTTGTAATCCCCACAGCCCTGGGCAATTGTTCTCATTCTGCCAGGCAAGAGAAGGCTGTCCCTGGCTGGCCCTTACATTGATGGGTTCCCTGTTCCCAAAGGCATATTTCTTCTCTGCAGCACAACACAACTGACAGGTGCACTGGGCCCTGCGTAGAAGTACAGTCCTAGATGGCCTGTTAGCATCCCTCATCCAGGACTGGCTGGGCAGCCCCAAGTGCCCTTGAGACTCCCTACAGTGGGGCCAACTCTGCTGGCAGCTTTGAGTGGGGCCAAGTGAAGCTGACACAGATCTTACCCAGGAGAGCCCACTGTCACTCATGTTCTCAACACCCTCATCATAGATGACAGAGCTGGGCCCAAACCATGTGCTCGGCAGCCTGGGGTCTTCTCCCCCCTTCGGCTCTCTGTACCCAAAGATGGGCCCCCAGGGTCTCCCCAAAGCAGAGCTTTCTGATCTGCTGAGGAGAGAGCTGGGCTTTCCTGCCACTGGCAGGTGGCAGATGGCAGGGCTAACCTCTCCAGAGGAAGTATGGGTTTGCTAGGCCCGGGGTGAATGTGACTTTCAGGTCACGCGAGCAGCCCCGAATTACAGCTTTTTCTTGGGTGCTCCCCCATCCTCCCGTTCCATTTAAATAGTCAAATCCTGTCCTTTTGTCTGAGCACAAAGGCCACTGCTGAGAAGCTATCCTCAGTTCCTGGAGCTCCAACACACTGCCTAAATCAGCAGTTGGACCCCAGCTGTCCTGTCACCAGGGGGCACCAGGAAGAAGCTCTGGCCACATGGGAGGGCACAGGAGGATGAGGTGAGGGCACCCTGGGCAGTAAGGTCTTTTCCATGTGGCTGTTTCTAGAGCAGGAGAGGTGGCTTCCTCCAGCCGCCCTGGCTCGCTGTTAGAGCAGGGTTATTAGAGCCCCTGACCTCACGCCTGCCCCAGGCAGGGCCCTGCACTCGTGCTGACTTCCTGACAGCAGAGGGGTGAGTGTCACTTCTGAAACGGAGGAAAGCCCAGCCGGGTCCCCAACCCCAGGCCAGGGACCAGGATGGCGGGGGACCAGCTTTTCACTGTGCACGGAGAACAGAGGAAACTGAAGGTGGTGGGTTATTTTTCAGGAAATTAAACCTATTTGATTTAAAAGATTGGCTTTTTAATTTTTTATCTTAAAGCGTGTGTTCTTTCTGCTTCCTTGGGGTTAAAGGACGCTTTCTTTCAGGAAATGAGCTGTTGGGAGGGGGCAGCTGTCCCTCATTCAGTTAGTTTTAAGAGCTCTTTAATTGGCAGAATTAAGGGCAGCAGCAAAATGAGGAGGTCTCTCAGCTTCGGGGGAAATTTGGTGTCCATGGTATCCCCCAGCCCCAGTGGCTGCTCACCCCTCAGGAAGGTGGCTTTCCCCACAAACTGAAGAGAAAGGGGAGCCCTGGGCCTGGGCTGGAGGGTGGGGTGAAACCTGGCCAAGGGCCGGGGCTCCCGGGAAGGGCTCCAGGTCTGGTGTCTGGGGCTTTGGAGATGGGAGGCGGACAAGCCCAGACTTGGGCTAAAAGGAGGTGGACGGATGCAGGCAGGGCACCCTGGGCCTCCTCCCTCAGGTGCAGACCCCTAACGTCTGCTGAACTTGATGCGTGCGAGGGGAGTGGAAGGGTGGAGAGATGGAAAAATGAACACGGGAACCCAAGCCTGGTCCCCGGTTTGCCACCAGCTAGCAGGGCAGCACTGACAAAGGCCTCAAGCCCTCCGAGCTCCATCTGCCCACCTGCAAAGTCAGGGGCCTTCAGACCAGAGGTTCCCGAGGCGTCTGGCCCCAGCTCTGGCTGGCATGACACTCCCTGCATGTCTGCAGTGAGAGAGACCCACATTCCGCATGCGCAGCCCGTCATACAAATCAGGGAGCTGAAGCCCTCTCCTGCAGAAGGCTGGCACGCAGGAACACCTAAGGAAACAGCCCTGACCACTGCTGGGGCAGGGGACAACTCTCCACGGGCCAGTGGAGTCCCAAGAGAATCTCCTTACCCGTTCCAAGGCCTCATTGGTGGGTCCCCACAGGAGCAGTGTCTACAGGGAAGCCTGGGCCTGAGTCCCTTGCCTGGAGTATGAGAGGAGGCAGTGGGGGTTGGGGGGATGGGGGGGACAGACTGCTGTGAGCCTGGGTTATTTTCTAAATACTTCCAGCTGGCCCTTGTAAACACTTTGGTCTCCCTGGAACCTATCCTCATACCTGGATTGACAGGGACAGAAGTCTGATTGTCTGGGGCAGCCACTGGGGGCAGATGACTCTGGCTTTGACTATGGTCATGCATTTAACCTCTCTAAGCCTCAGTCTCTTGATCTGCAAAGTGGGTGAGAACAGGACCCGTACTTCAGGCTGTCGTGAGGCTGAAATGGGATAACGCACAAATGCTTAGACACGATGCTCAAAACAGGATGGTGTTTAGTGACTCACTTTCGCTCCTGCCTGGAGAAGGGCCGGGCCCTGCCAGCTCAGAGCAGCCTTTCTGCAAGTCCAGGGCCACTGCTGAGGTGCCTATGGACACACCCTTCACCCACCAGGCCCTGGTGCTGCCGGAGGCCCCAGCTGGATGGTTGAACCACAGGGCTGCGGGGGTAAGGGCCTCCTTTAGATATGGGTCAAGAAGGGTATTTTTAAAAGGAACCTTCAGCAAGTGGCTGGTTCCTCAGTTGTTAGGACAACTGGCCCATTCAGCAACATCTGGAGTCGAGGAGCGGGGAAGTTCATGCAGCAGAGACGCCCCAACGGGAGGGGACGCAGCCGAGCGCCGATTCAAGGAGGAAAGAGGCTGTAGCTGCCTGTGACGGTGACTTCCTCTGTGCGCAGGGCCCCAAATGCCAAGTCTGGGTGAACTTGAAAGTCCAGAGTGAACCCACCCCATAGCCGTGGTTCCCCGGATAACGGTTTTCTCCAGGGGCCTAGAGCCTGGGCATGGGGGGTGGGGGCCGCCTTGCCACATCTGTTCTCCGTGACGTTTCCACACTGGGCATCTGCGAGCAGCCCCTGAGCTGACCGAGCTCTGACACCCCCACCCCCGTGGAGCTCTGTGCTTCCGCCAACCTCACAAAGCCTGCACCCCTTCTTCTGCCCCGGGAGCCCGGAGAACGCCCCCACCCACCCTGGCAGCTGCAGTGTGTGACCAGGCCTCAGGGTGGCTCTGGAGGGGTCCAGCACTGCCAAGCCTGAACTCCAGGGACAGCAGTGCACCTTGGGCCTCCGTGGGCCCCGACAAACCTGGGCAGTGTGCAAGCCGGACCACTCCATGCCATGACATAGCGACCCCGACTCAGTGCCGGGCGCTGGCTGAGCCCCCAACTGGTTTCCCCTCTCTGAGCCGCACCTCAGCATCTCTGTTCCCGGGGGCAGGGGGGCAGGCCGGGCGAGGGAGGGCACTGGCGGGGATGAGCTTTGTACTCACAGCACGCAGAGCGCGTAGGCCCGGGAGATGGACTCGCTGGCGCGCACGAGGAAGCTGCCATCCTTGCCCGTCCTGGAGAGCAGCTCCTCCGCCTTGGAGCGGGTGATGTTGCCATGGTTCCAGCAGGGGACCATGGCGGGCGTGGGCCTCCTGGGCAGGGCCGGGCGGGGCCGGCAGCCTCCCCCACGACCAGCACACCACCAAGGGGAGCCGAGGCCCCTGTGCTGCCACCCCCTCTTGTCCCCTCTCTGTTGCCCCGGCTGCTGCCACCAGCTCACTGACCGAGGACTTCCTGTTTTAGGCGCTTTGCAGGGGAAAGGAAACGAGCAGCAGAGAACTTCCTCATTTCAGAGACCAAGCGGGAGCCCTGTCCTCCGCCTTCCCACCCCACCCGCCCGCCCTTTTTCTCCCCAGTGGGACTCAGTCCTCGGAGGGTCAAACGCCAGCTTAAGTCTGGGGGAAGAAGGGGGGAACTGGCAGCTTCTTTGGTGTCAGGGGGCCCCGTTGGCTGCTGCAGAAGCAGGACCTGACAGGCGTGGGCATGCCAAAGCAGTGGCCATTCAGAAGCCTGTCCCTCTGTCCACGTGGGGTGGCCACGCCCTGGTCAGATCTCTCAACCTGTTTCCCTCCCCCAGGGCTTTTTGACTCACTGACCCTCTCACCGCAACATAACCAAGGAGCAGAGGCTCCTGGGGCAGGACTTCAGCTGGGTCTCAGCCCACACAGGGCTGGGTTAGATGGAGGGGGAGGGATACAGTCAAGCCCTCCTCCCCACATGAGAGACTCGCGGTCATTCAGACACCATATAGCCCTGGGTACCGGAGGGACCTTGGGTGACATCACATGATGTCTCCAAGGGCCCAGGTGGCTGCTCTGTGACACCCTTTCACTCATCCTTCGGGGCTGGTGAGTGTGAAGGACCTCGGGCAACCTGTTCTCTATGGCAACATAGATGCAGGCTGGGTTTTTACCTATGGGTCTTTCCAGAACACCCAGGAAACCCACACATCCCCCGGGCGAGCTGGCCACCTGGCCAACAAGGATGCTCCTTCCTGCATTCTGTATCGGGGGTGGCCAGGCATGGTTGTCTTTGCCCGCAGCTCAAAGGGAAGCTGCCTCCGTGGAGCCACCATCCAGGATCAGCAGATGGAGGACTCCAAAGTGGCATCCACTCCTTGGCCCCCAAACGGGTTGCCCTCAATCCCCACCCAAGTCAGACCCACCAGGGTGAAAGGGCAAGTGCTGACCTATTGCACAAAGGAGCCCCCCAATTCCACACTTAGGCCTTCCCCCACAGGACATGACAAGAGAATCTCCTCCAGGGCCTGAGCCAGGCCTGTATCTTGATAAAAGTAGCCCCTCAAGGAGCTCATGCGTGCCACAGTGTCCCCGCACCTGCAACCCACAGCAGGAGATTCTGAGTGAGCAAAGTGCTCCCATCCAGGTGGACTGATCCCATTCTGATTCTGAGGCCAAGAGCAAGTGCGTTCCGCCCCTGCCCACTTCTGGGCTCCAGGCAAAGTTCCCTTTGGAAACTCAAGTCCAGAGAACTCCCATCCTCACCCCCACCTTCCCAAGCCAGTTTCCCCGAAGCCCCCTCCCTAGCTCCTCCCTCTGAACCTTCAGCAAGCCCGTATCAGGGGCCCTCTGGGCAGGCCCTGACTGGGCGTGGAGACACAGTGGAGATGAGAGTTGGCCTTCATGCTCTGGCCTTTCCCACGACAGCTGGGCCCTGAGTCTGCCAACTCTCCAGCAGCCACTAGTGGAGGCCTCTCTTTCCCTCACCCCTACCTCAGCTCTACCCAATCTTGATGCTCTCACCATGTTCTCCCTTCCCTACTGACCTGCACCATCTTCTACCCTGCTCTCAGACTCAAAGCCCCTAGCTCACTCTAGGGTCCATCAAAAAAAGGCTCCATCCAAAATTCTGGCCCCTTGGTGCCTTGACCAATGTATCCCTAGAGTCCCTCCATCACGCCAACTTTCCAGCTTCCCACTCTCCCTCTCTCATGCCTCTGTTCTCACTGAATCCTACATCTCAGCAGACTTGTTGGACAGTGGGCCTGTCCTTGCCATTTGATTCATGTGATTTTCCTTTAACACACATATGACACCTGCTTGACACATACATGACACACATGTTTCTCTAATTTGTAAGGTTCATCCCATCTTCACTTCCTTCCCAACCCAATTGCCTAAGCCATCTGACATGGTCAGCTTCCTTGTCCCTCTGTTCTTATCCCCCGTTTCAGAAAATCCCAACATCTAGATCAGGGCTGCCCTTAGCAGTGGGTGTGGCCTGGGTAAATACTTTTTGCAAGGCCTCATCTATATAAACAACGTACTAAAAACTTGTGTTATGAAACAAATGGACTCACTGAGGTACCGTGATTTATCAAAGAAGATCTAGAATAGTGGACAGAGAGGAGGTAAGTTGTGTATATTCGATGTCTAATCAGTGAATGTGAAGCATCTTCATGATGCCAGGTCCTCTTTCTCATTCAGTTTTAGTTTCATACTGACAAACATTCCTGGCTGTTTGTGTATCTCCAACAGCGAGATGAGGGTAGCAGTGTAAGCCTGTGCATTTTGAGTTGATACTGATCTTGCCTCTGTGTTTCCCAGCGCCATTGATCTATTGCTGGCTGCTTCATTACCGATGATGCTGCTTCACCCTCGGTGCCAGCGTAAATACCAGCTTCCAGGAATTCCTTCTGAGGTTGTTTTTTGCTTCGTAGATAAACACAGATGTATTCCTTGCCCAGAGCATGCAAAAAATTATTAACAATAATTTATTTTTTGGTCATGTTAAAGCTCCTTTTCTGAATTTATAGCATAAACATAGAACAACACATCTAACCAGCTTCTCTTGAATTTGGGGGCCATAATCAACATGTTGCTATATGGTGAACTCTTTCACTGATGACAACATCCCTCCCTTGCGCACATGAGAGCAGTCCCTTTCTCAAGGAATGTCCATCCCCAAGGGGGAAGATTAAGATCAATCTGGAGAGCTCAATGTCAGCTGATTGGAGGAGCCCACAGGCAGTGAAGGGCAATGGTTTCAAAAGCCATTAGAGGAGATGCTGTTGCCTGACACATGGACAGGGACCTCCAGAGTGGGCAGTGACTGCCCAAATGCTGTTGGCAGGTGTTCAGATGGCAAGAAACACCTGCCACTCTCCGTCATCCTCATTGCTATTGGCTGGAGGCAGCGCCATGGGTGGAACACTGCAGGTGAGTGGTGACCTGGGAGCAATTCAAGGCCAGGGATTGTCTATGAACCAATAGTTGCCCAGAAACCTAAACATGTCTTATATTAATGTAAGAGTCACACCAAACCAGCATCTCAGCACCATTCTAGTCACCCAATCTTGTGCCATTGCACAGAAGAAATACTACCCTGCTTCCAAGGCTATACTCTTGAATCACACCAAGCCATAGGGCTCCAGAAAGATCCCATAGGCTTGCGTCTCAGAGCTCCTTGGGGCTTCTGGGCAACCCTATATGTAGGGAAGAGAGTTGGAAAGCACCTGACAGGGAAAAAAGTAGGCTCAGGGCTCATGGGGGACCAGATTCAGACCACAGCACTTGACCCAACTGTGCTGCCAGTCCTGGCCAGTCCCAGGTGTTAGAAGGGGACTTGGAATATGTCTAGGAAGTCAGGGAAGTGAGCAGCACCAGGGTGGTCTGGCAGGCACCAAGGCACTGGCACTTGGTCTAGAAGCTCTGGGAAGAAGAGATGAAGTCTCATTGTTGAAGAAATGAGCTTATGTAGCAGTGTCCCCCCGCCTTCCTTCTCCTCACAAGGAGTCTCAATTTCACTTCTGCTACTGGCTTCTTTAAGTAGGCCTTTCTAGATCCTCTCTTGTACCTCTGCAGACACAAATTTGGTGCCAATTTGGTTCAACAGTGCCTAAGGTTGGGGCCTCTTGGGGCCTGGAACATTCTGAAGAGTAGGCAGGTAAAGTCTCAGTCCACAATTCTGTCAACCCTCTGCCCCTTTCAGCTCTGATAACTATTTCTGAGCTGTAAATCAGACTCTGAAATCATACACAGGTGATGCCAGGGTCTGAATCCTGGCTCTGCTACAAATATCTAGCATCTGAATCTCAGTTTGCACCTCTGTGCAGTTATGGAAGGTGCCTGGTGCAAAGTAGGTGCTCACAAAAGGCAGGTTTCTGAGGTGGCCCTCCTGGTCGATGCTTGGAGGGCAGAGCCTGGGTTGGCTCCAACCTGCAACCAGCATCAGTGACTTAGCAACTCAGGTTTGAAAGAGGATGAGATTCTATCAAGTGCTCTTTCCCTGCAACTAACAATAACCTAATTGGGTCAGGTTCTGAGCCTAGTGATTCCCACCATCTGGGGAGAAACTCTAGCCCCATCCAAGAGTTCAGGTGTGACATTCTGTAGAGCCCCAACTCTCATGTTCCCATAGGAACAATGCCAACAGGGATGGAAGTGATTTCTCAAGAGATTCAAAAGCCAACAGATTCCTAATTGTGCTCAAGGACATCCATGAGCTGCTCTGTCCTTCCACTGAAGATACAGGAAAATCAAAGTGGTGAACAGCAATAAGGAGTTTGACTCTGGTAAGAATCACATCCACAAAAATAACTTGGGTCTTTCACCAAGGCTGTTAAGAACATGGGGAAGTCGTCATAATAATACAATGGTAAGAGAAGAAAAATCAGGAAACCAATGGAAGATATTGATTCCAATGATGGAAAAACTTTATTTCAGGAAATCACTGATTTTGAGGTGTGCTTAGGTGGCAACTCTACAAGTACTTTTTTGTTTTCTTCCTTCTACTTGTCCAGGTTTCCTTTGTGATCACACACTTTTTATTTTACAATTAAGTGAATAAAGACAATTCTGGTACCTGAAGTGTGTGTGTGAATTCCTCCAGGAGACCTTGGCTTCATGTGAGCTGCTGGTGGAGTTCCCAGAGACACACATCCCTCAGGATTCATAAGAGACTGACCTTTTTCCTTAATCTTTGTAAAATTAAAAAGTAACACAAGCTCACACTAAAAATTCAACTATTATAGCACAGTGAAAAGTAAGTTTTCCTGCTTGCCCAGATGCCCAGACCCATTGCCCCCAGACCAGCATCTTGAGTATTCTTACAATA